CTTGATGGAGGTATAGGGTAAACTTGGTTGTGGCACAAACCATAGTATTTTTCCTTGGGACCCTAAAACCATTTCCTCAAGACAAATGGTGAGAGTTGAAATGATTTTACCAATGACTTCAGTTGTCAGTGCCACAGTACACAATCTACCAGGTTTCTAGAAACTTGCAGTCTGCAGGTGACTACAATGCCTGAATTCATCTTTATCCACTTTGCATGGATTGCAACTGATCCAATACTTGGGGAGAAGTGGGGGAAAGATATCCTTGGGTTATCATGTCTGAGTGGAAGTGTCCTAATCAAATTCCCTAAAACACCTGAAGACACAACCCAGGATTTTGTACGATCCTCCTCTAAACCAGAAACAAATCCCCCTTCAATACTGGGGCTCACTCAAATCTAGTTTGTATTCACCTAGTGTCCTCACAACATGGGAACTGAGCTTGAGTGGTCACCGAGTCTTACTCTACCATGTACATAAGTAAACATAAAAACATAAAGAAGTGATTCTGGTTGCCTTTCCTCATATAGGACTTTGATGGACATCTTCATGGTGTCTGTGGAATTCCACTTGTAGTTTCAGGGACCACAGATGGCCATAATGTGGAAAGTTCAAGGGCAGTGATCCAGGATCATGACTGAGTCTCCCTCTACTGACCCCCTGAGACAAAACTGGATCTGGAGATGTAGCCTAGTTGGTAGAGTGCTCACCTAGCATCCTCAAAGCCCTGGGTTTGACCCCCAGCCCTGCATCAACTGAGTGTGATGGCAGCAGTAATCTCATCCCTCAGGAGGTGGAGGCAGAAGTTAGTCATCCTTGCTACTTAGTCAGTTCCAGACCAGCCCAGGCTACATAAGACAAAACATCAACAATACCCAGCCCAGAGACTAGCTTTGTTAATCACTATTTGCTTCCAAGAAAACAAAAATTCTCATGACATGGGAAACTACTCGGAGTCTCTCTTACTCTCTCTACTTTGATCTGAGAGGCCAATTTATTTTATTTTTATTTTATTTATTTACTTATTATGTTTTTTTTCAAGACAGAGTTTCTCTGTGTAGCCCTAGGTGTCCTGATAATAAATACATACTTAAACACAGGGAGCCAGCACAATGAAGTGGAAGTTACTTGGGTACCCTCTGGTGTAGTTCACCAACATTTCTGTATTGTGAGTTAATGAATTAGTTTCACTGGGACTGGGGTGATGCCTCAGTTGCTAAAGTGCTAAAGTGTTTGTCACATAAGGACATGAGTTCAGATCTCCAGGACCCACTTAAAAGCTGGGTGTGGTCATGTTCCTATAATTGCTGCACTGGGAAAGCAGACACAGGTGGATCACTGTGACTCACTGGACAGCCAGTCAACCAGTCAGCCACCGTAGCGGAATAGATGAGGCCCAGGCTCAGTAAGAGACCCTATCTCTGTATAACTTTAAATCCCAGCACTGAGGAGGCAGAGGCAGATGATGATCTCTAAGTTCCAGTCCCATTTTATCTACATAGTGAGTTCCAGGACAGCCAGGGCTACATAGAGAAACCCTGTCTCAAAAAGCCACAAGAGAGAGAGAGACAGACAGAAAAACACAAAAAACATACCCCACACACACAGAGACAGTTAGAGACCAAGACCCTATCTCAAGAATGAGGTGGAGAGTAACTGAGGAAGATGCTGGCATTCATGTCTGGCATACAAATGTATGTGAAAACACTTGTGTGTGCACGCACACAAACATGTACATAGAGCATACATAGAAAGACAAACACACATGCAGATGGATTGGCCTCAGAAAGACAGATTCCAGGTCAGTGTTTTGGGCTCTCAGGAATAGAGGGTGACTGTGCTATGTGTGTTATATCGTGGGCTGTTACCTCTCTCCAAGTCCCTGTAAGGCATATTGACTAAGATAACATCTCAAATTCAACAGAGGAAACAAAAGGCAGCAATTATTTTCTAATAGAACAGAAAAGAATCTTCCAATTCTTTTAGTAAGAGGAAGGAAGAGAGGCTCTCTGGAGTTAGTTGAGGGAGAGAGCAAAGACAAAAATGAGAAAGAAAATCCTTGCTCCTGTGCCTATGTGGACTGTTCCTGTCTGGTTCCAACGTGTCTAGCTGGAGTACTTTCAGAATATGACATATTTGCCTTCTCTTCTTGTTCACTTCCTGCCCCAAAACTGGAGTAGCCACTTGTGGGTCTGTCCTTAGAAGCCTGTAGGAGTGCTCACCCATCCCTGAGCGTCTTCCAACATGTTTGCTGCATGCCACCAAATGGTACCCACAGTGTGTGAGGGAAACAGTACAGTGATGGCACGGCAGATACAGTATCCTGGCCCGGGGTGGCCAAGAATAGCAGATTAACAGTCTCCACATGGCGTGGCAACGTCATGGTCACTGTACCGTAGCACAAAACCCATCTCTGTGGCTCCCAAAGTATTAGGGACAGAAGGAAAAGGGACCTTTGTGACTTTATCTTCCTCACAAGAAAAGTGCTTAACTGTGATCCTTGAGCTAGGTGAATGCAGCCAGGGCATGGTGGGGCCTGGAACAACTGGACCAGAAACTAAGTGCCAAATGGAGCAGAAACCCAGACAATGGTGCTGGGGGTGGTGGTGGGTAGGATAGCAAGGAAGGAGATTCAATGCGAATGAATACTAATTAGTGACATGGATATTAATGATGACAGTAATTAACAGGGGAAAGGAAGGGCTGTCATTGTCCCAGGGTGAGCAATCAATCTTGGCAGGTGATAAATAATGGCTGAGCAAACTCAGCGGAAAGATAATCCACAGGCCCCAGGGAGAGCCGGGGTGATACTGGAAGCTTCGCAGTTTCCAGGCAACCCACAGAAAAGAACTATTTTTCTTTGAGGCAAAAAAAAGGGACAGGTTAGTGTCTCTCCCCCACCCCCAGTTTGGGATTACAGATCTTATTTGATGTCTGCTTTGCTCTGAATTTCCTAGAACAAATGCACGAGTTCTGTAGTTTGAGGGAAATGAGCATGCGCACATGAACACACTACTACACAAGTGGACTCCTCTCAGAGGATGCGAACGGACCAGAGTGTTTTTACATCCTATTTCAGCTCTCAGATGTGGGCCGGAAGCAAGGGTGGGGGGCTTCTGAGTCTTGCTTTTGAGGCTGAAGTGTGAGGACATGGCATTGTCGATGAGGGTTGGCCCTGGGCGAAGCCCAGGAGGAGGGAGGAGGGTGGAGTCCTGGCAGCTCTGCTGCGCTGTTCAACATCTTCCACAGAGCCACACAGAGACCAAATGTTCAGGTTTTCTGGACAGCAGGGATCTTACTTCTGGTCCATGGTAAAATGTCTGAAAATTTTAATTCCCAGGAAAACGGTATCTCAGTAATTGCCCCTGCTAGATCTCATTCACCTGGCTGGGAATCCAGTCAGGGACTAGATTAGCAGGCAAACACACACACACACACACACACACACACACACACACACACCAAGGTTTCAGACCAATTCCTGACTCAGACCTAGAAATACTGTTCCTTTCGGCCTATTTTCCATCAAATATCCCACAAGAGATGATGAAGCCATGTTTAGAGGACCTCACCAGTGCAAAACGAAATCTTTGGGTGACTTGGTGGGTTGATAAGATGTTCTGAGCCGTGCAGATAATGGGGCCCTTACACTTCTGTTCCATTCCTTGGGGCTTGGGTCCTGAAACCCTGACGATGGAGACAAAGGAATGAAAAGAGGCCAGACGCAGAGGCACAAGAGGGGAAGAGCAGGGTCTGGTGTAGTGTGTGCCCTGTGACGGAGCCACACTGTCTACCCTGGCCACCTTGTGTACTTATTGTGTACAGTGTAGAGAGTAGGGCCAGCTAGGATTGATTGGAGGTCTCTGTGAGGGAATGTCTCAGGCTGTAGACACCCAGGAGGAGGACGGTGCAGATGCTAGCTTTGTGCACACTGATCAATTGCTTGCACTTGGACTCCCCCCTCCCCCAAAGAAGGCTTTGCTATACTTCTGAGCCTCATCATGGCGAAAGGCTTTGCCAGATCCACAGGGTTGACACACTGGTGTCCTTGACATGCCTATGCCCGTGTCAAAAGTACATATTCACTCAGAACTTCATCACTTCAATCGCTGGGGAATTCCTTCATTCCCTATACATGCCCCTGTGAGCTATGCTGCCCTTGCAACATGGGTTCTAGGTGCCGTCTTTTTAAAGGGAGACAGGAATAGGGAGCTCGCTTGGAAGACTTTGGTCAATGGTGATGAGCTCCAGGATAAGCCATGGAATGGCTCCAGATCCATCTGGATGATGACTCTGTTCATTCATGGAAGAACTGCCCAAAATCTGAAGGGATGGTGTCAGAGTGACAAGATCTGGGTTCAGGTTTGCTCTTCTGTCATCAGAAGGCAAACTAAAGCCAACAGGAAGAAATATGAGAAAGTCGAATTTCTGTTCAAATGTTCAAACCTGCATCCCCAGAAAGTTCTCTACAGAAGCTCCTGGAAATACTCGTGTAACTGAAGCATCGTAAGTGGGTTTAGGTTTTGGTTTTGGGTTGGTTAGTTGGTTAGTTCTTTGTGTTGTGTTTGTGTTGGAGGTGGTGAATTGTTTTCTGGTAACAGAACTGACATCTAGGCTGGGAATACAGCTGAACTGATACAGCGCTTGCCTGGTGCCAGTGCTGGTGCATGAAGCCCTGGGCTTGATCCCCAGCATTGTATAAACTAGGCGTGGTGGTGCAGGCCGGGACCTCAGCATCCTCAGGTATATAGAAAAGTCAAGGCCAGCCTGGGATGCACAAAAGCCTGTCTCCATTAAAGAAGGAGGGTAAGGAGGGACGGCAATCGCTAAATCACAACTTGGACGTGTCCAAGTGGATGGGAGGGGCTGGTTAGCATGGGGAAATTGCAGCAGTATCCAGCTCTTAGGCTGTGTGCTGCTGGGCTTAGGACTCTGGTAAAGATGTTTCTTCTACTACCCATGGGATCAGATCATCAGCTCAAATGGCTTTGTCATTGCAGGTACGGATATTGTGCAGTGGCTTATGAAGAACCTTTCCATTGAGGACCCAGGTACTTGACCCTTGGCCTTGCCTTTACCTCTCCTTTGTGTTGGCATACACGGCATAGACAACTTCCCCAGTGGGTCCTATACAGTCTTGACAAGAAAGCTTATCGTGGTGGATTCCAGGATGTGGAATCATTGTATGCGCAGATAGAAGCCATTTATTTTCTCCACTGAATGGCTGCCATCACGTGGAAATCACCCTTTGAGGAAATGAGCCACTATTTATTTAGAATGCCAAAGAGCTCAACACAATGGCATGTGAAATGAGATGGATTCTCATTAGCTGTAGCAATTAAAGATAAGTTGTAGCCCTGTCACAGAACAGCCTTCTAGAAGCAGCTCTTAAAATTAGATTGCCTGATCCACAATTAAGATGTTTAATTATTTGCTAAAACTCCTTCTGTTTTCTGCTTCTGCAAGAAGTGAACAAGGGGTGTTTTTTTCAACTCTAATTGTGCATTTCAATTAGGCAAAGTCCACCAGAAAAACAGCAAAACCCTGGCCAATGAAGATGGTTTCTACAGCTGTCCTTCCACCAGAAAATAAGCAGGACAATGAATTTTGACAGTCTCATTAGGAAATGGGGGAGGTGCTCCAGAAAAAAATTAAACTTCTAGAAAGCTAAAGTTGGTTTTCATCATTATGCTGTGAGACTGTTGTTGAGAATTTAGCACACATTCATTTGTCTCCCTTAACTGGTATTATTAATACTCAAAGATCACATTTACAAATCTCCATAGTGGATCTGCTCAGGGGTTCACATTAGTGCTGAGTAAATCCAGGGCCTTCTACCTACTGGGCAAGCACTCTAATGCTGAGCTGCATATAGACCTCTGCTCTGATGTTCTTAATGGTCATCCTTAGGGGACATAGATACCATAAGTTAAATGGGCCTTAGTACCATGCTTTCTGAGAATTTTCATCAAGCGCCCACACTAGATGTTGGGTCTAAGATTGTGATTATTTGGAATCAATATGCCAACCGAGGCTTGTCTTTTTAACCTGAAATTGCTAATCTACACGTGAGTGTACAACAATGCAGTTTCAAATAATTCAATTAAATGAAGTTGATGGAAGCACGAACCCTGAAGAGCAGGTAAGTTTTGGAAGTGACCCTTGCCCTTTTCATGTCCTGGATCAGTGACCACTCTGTCAGCTTACAAAAATTCTTAACTCAAGAGAAGTTCTTAACTCACAAGAAACAGTGTCTATGCTAAACATTTCATTCGAAGGCTAGGCTCCAAGTCAGCTCCTCTTGGTGTTTCCATTAGATAGCCTGGGCTTCTGATTGCCAGGCAACCAGCCTTGGTAGGCATCTAGCTATTTGGTGACATTTATCTAAAATCACTGTTCCTTTTTAGTCATGCTAACTTAAGGTCATTTCTCTTGGTAAAATTTGCTAAGGCCATTTCCTTGCCCTTCTGAGGTATCTACTGAATTCATTATTCACATTATTATTAATGTTCTGGGGACTCTCCTCTAGCTAATGTAAGTGAGACATTTGTGGCATGAGAAACTTCTGTGGAAGGTCCAGACTGGTGAAGGTCACATGCTCTTCTCTGATACCTTTGGGAAGGACATCAAGATGTTTGGGTTTCTGAGTATTAGCAGGGAAGGAAAAGCTAAAACAATTTGCCAAATGGTAATAGAAGATGAAGTCACAAACCACAGCCCAGGAAGTCAGCATGTTCAATGGAAGTCCCTTGCTGGCCCCTCTGTCTTTTCCTTGTTCTCCTCTGTCAAAGTAAAAGGATTTCAAAGCAAGAGTTTCCTTCTTGCTGGACCACCATTCTTTCCTTTGTTTATGTTAGGGTTGTGGTTGGTTGGTTGATTCCGTGGTTCAATGGTTACTTTACTATGTAGCCCAAGCTGGCTTCCACCTCTCAATTCACCTGCCTGAGGCTCCCAGGTGCTAGGATTGTAGACCTGTGCCATCACACATGGCTCATGATTCTTGAGGCAGAGAGTTGGACTTCCATGTGTTCCTTGAAGTCAACTAACATTGGACTGAAAATATTTGATACGAAAATGTTTCTGTGCTCAGCATATAGAGACAGTTTGTTATTCCCTAAGCATTACAGTACAACATCCATTTGCATAGCATTTGTGTTAGGCATCAAAAGTAACCTAGAAATGACTTGAAGCCATTTGATATCAAGACTTGAGCATTCAAATATTTTGATCTTCATAGGGGCCATGAAACAAAGACTACATGGATATATCGGACATCCATATAGAACTGTAAAGGCAAACCGGTCATTGAGAAGCAGGTCACTTATTTGGAGTCTACCCACTATGGGCGCTGCTTCCAAGGGGACTTGGTGATTCTTAGAAAGCAGAGCACTCGGATTGTAGTTCATGTTGAAAAGTTTGTGGGTACAGACAAGACAAATGACTTAAAAATACACATCTTGTAAAACTGCTCATAGGAGAATTTAGGACCCACCCTCCCCTCCTGTATGGGCTCCTCTCAGGATAACATCTTAACTACTGATGGAAACCTGTTTATGGCTGGGGCTGAGATAAGGAAGCAGCAGGTTGGTTTTGGCAGAAGCACTCATTTTTCTATCTGGTTTGTCACCTGTGGCACTTCCACCCCGTCAGCCTTCTTCTGACTCCCTGGGAAAGTGAGGTCTTGCCCCAGTCCTTCGAGAAGGAGATGCACTCCTGTTATGTCACAAGGAGATGCTGAAGCCTCTGGACCACAAGACTGCACCACCAGTGCCAAGGATCAGAGACCTGAGAGCCATGACTCAGGGCTGCCATCTCTGCCTGAGTGCTATCCCTGACAGTCACTGCTAAGCCCTGTGTAAGATGGCCACTGCTTAAGGGACTGCTTGGTTCACGCCATGCTGCTAGATCTGACTTTGTTTAGGAAGGCTATGGAGAATGAGGCATTGTCAGATTCTCAGAGAAGGCCAGACAGGCAATGGTCCTTCTCAGTCAGCGTCCTCCCATGGCTACCGTGAACAAGGGGAGGCATCATCAGCACCGTTGTCCAGAGGTCACCGTTTGCTCTCCCAGTGCATGGTTTCGCTGAATGGCATTCTCCCCTGCCTTTTCTCTCCTTTCAGTTGAAGCAATACACCTGGGAAGCCTTATCGCCGCCCAGGGATATATCTTCCCAATCTCAGACCATGTTCTCACCATGAAAGATGATGGCACCTTTTACCGTTTCCAGGTAGGCCGGCTGGTCCTCCCAAAGAACCCTTCTGCTCTTCACCATGTGGCCTCCTCACATTAGAACCACAGAGAACAACTAGGCATGCTTAAGAGAGTAAATGTCCCCCTGAAGTACTGGGAAAGTGATGACATGTATTAACTTAGCCACTGGGTGACCCACTTAAAGAACAGTAAAAGGCCCTCACTGATAGTCTATAGTATTTGGGGACAGTGTCTAAGCCCCTTAGGGGTGTTGTCTTAGACTCTCCCGCATGTCTTATAAACATCATTTTTCACAGTACTGGGGGATGGGAAGTGTCTGGTGGGGAGTGCCCTCTATCTCATAAATGGAACTTTCTATCTGTGCCCTCATATGATGGATGAGGGGGTCTCCCTCCCTCAAGCCTTTTTTAAAAATAAGGACACTAATTTCACTCATGAGTCCCTCATCCGCACATCCCCTTCACCTACCAAAGGCCCCATCCCTCATCTTCAACACAAAGATTTATCTTTTTATTGTATATGTATTTGTTTTTTGCCTGAATGTATATGTTTATTGACCATGTACATATTTAGGGCCCATAGAGGACATAGGGGGAATTTCCTATGGTCTAGAACCAGAGTTATAGATAGTTATGATGCTCCATGTGGGTGCTGGAAATTGAACCCAGGTCCTTTATAAGAAGAGTAAGTGTTCTTAACCACTGAGCCATCTCTCCTGTCCTGAGAGTTCATGTCTTCAGAGTATGATCTGGAGGACTGGGGTTCAAATGAAAATGTCTTCTGGAGGACTAGGGTTCACATGACAACAGATACTTTCCTTCATTTCTTCTAGAAGAAAAGCTGTTACAGGAGTGGATATCACCCATCATACAATGGGGTATTTGGAGACACTGTCTAAGCCCCCTGGGACGGGGTTGCTCAGAGAATGATCATGGCTTTTAGTGACCCTAGTAGGCTGAGCCTATGTCCCATGTGAGTGTGAAAGTACTGTACTGTTACGGAATTTCCTGGCCGGTTCTGCAACCGCCTTGCCCCAAACGAACACACAGACACTATATTAATTATGAACCTGTTGGCCGATGACTAGGGCTTCTTATTGGCTAGTTCTGTCTTAATTATTAACCCATTTCTATCAATCTATGTATTGCCATGAGGCTGTGGCTTACCTGGTAATGCCTGACATGGTGTTACGCTTCGGGCAGCGTTGCGACTCTGGCGGGCTCCTGCCTACCTTTCCCAGAATTCTCCTCATCTCCTAGTCCTGCCTATCTTCATGCCTCATTGGCCAAACAGTGTTTTACTCATCAACCAACAAGAAGGACATCCCCCATCACCGTACTTGACTTGTACCGGCCTGGAGTGTGTGCTCATGTGCTATGTGCTCACTCCTCATTCACTGTTAGCCCTTCTCCAGACTCTGCTTTAGAGACAGAGACAGAGTTGGGGGCTGTGCCAAAGCCTAAACCAAAGGCTTTGGGGACATAGTCCTGCCAAGGAGTTAAAGAGGAAACTGTGCCAAGAGTGAACTGGCCACAGCTGACATTACTGTTTTACAATTGTGCGTCTCTGGTCCTGATGCTGTGTGCTCTGTTGCAGGCTCCTTACTTCTGGCCATCAAACTGCTGGGAACCTGAAAATACTGACTATGGTGAGTAGAGATAATGTGACCCATGCTTCCTGTTGCTCGTAGGAGTTACCACAGGCAAATGCTCAACACCTGGTGACCACAGCACTGGGGAAAGGGCTCTTGACCCTGCTGACTCCTTGTTGACATGGATCAAGATCCCTGCTTTACATAGTAAACAAAGACATGGCACACCAAACGTGCAGTCCTCCCAAGAGAAGGGCAAAGGAAACAGGTTTTACGGGAACACTGTGTGACAGGGGCTTTTCTTGCTCCTTCTAAGGACACGGCATCAGGGAGGGCTGCATCAAGGAGCTGCCTTCCCTGGCCTTTTCTATTTTTACATACTTGTAAAAATGTTTACATACTTACTAAGAACTCATTGGTGATTTTGAGAGTTAGATGTTAAATAGTCATAGAGACTATTTAAATAGTCATAGAGACTATTTAAAATTCTCCATGAACCAATTCTCTGAAGAAATTATATCATCCCCAACTACTTAAGGTAAATAACTTGAGACCTAGAAAGTCCATATCCTCACAGGATCACATTTGTCTGAATTCCCAGATGAAAGTGAGACCCAAGAGGGCAGGGGCTGGCCTGCCCTGGGTATTCACATCACCCCAAGGTGGGATCTGTGGTATAGGACATATGTGGTATTCAGTAAATCTTTACTTACAGTACTGTTTGGGGTTTTGTTATTGCTTAAGATCTTTTCATATTTTTAGTTAGGATTGAGGTGGGTTCTCTTGCAGAACTGGGCTCGAACCCACAGCCTTCTGTGTGCTAAGCTACATTTCTGTCTGGTTCTAGTTCCTTTGCACATTTTGCCACACTTATTTTCATTTATGTGTATGCTCCTGCTTCTCTCTCTCTCTCTCTCTCTCTCTCTCTCTCTCTCTCTCTCTCTCTCTCTCTCTCTCTCTTTGTGTGTGTGTATCACATGTGTGCAATACACACATGGGCCAGGAGAGGGCATCAGATCCCCTGAAGCTGGAGTTACAGGCTGTTATGAGCCACTTGATATGGGTGCTGGGAACCCATCTGTGGTCCTCAGGGGGAACAGAAAGTACTCTTAACTCTTGAGCCGGCTCTCTAGATCCTGGTTCTGGTTCTTCATTGAAGGTGATCAATAATAGACACTCCCTGGAAACAGAGTTTAAGCTTAGAGCTGAGTGACTCCAGCCCACCCCCCTTCCTGCTCCTGTGTGGGACCTGCCTGGAGTCCGTGCCATCATCAACACCCCTTTTTGCATGGCATCCTTGCAGTCCCTAGCGCAGTGTCTTCTGTGGCTCTCCTAAGGACAAAGGCACTCGGCGAACCCAAGAGCTTCTCCCCTGGGTTTTTGCAGAGCCAAGAGTGACAGGCAGGCAGCTACAGCAGCAGGGTCTGGCTGGCGGGGACCCTTGTCTGGGAGAGAGCTGCAGGACAAGCTGCTGTTCCGAAGCATGGGCTTATGGGATGCACACAGACCACTGAGAACAGTCTGGAGATGTACAGCAAGTGAGGCATTGCCTGATGAGCCAATAAATGGAGAGGAGTGTTTGGGTAAAGGGCGAGGGGTGGGGGGGTAGAAGGGGGACCTGCTGCTAGTCTGTCCTAGGGCACCACTGTGACCCTACCAAATGGCTGCTCCCTACACAGTAGTTGATCAGGTCCTGCACAGCTTCCAGCTCAGTGCAGGAGCTGTGTTTGACCATAAAACAAGTGCTTCAAGGTTGAAAGACTGCTCTGTGGTGGCCCTGTCTCCTCATTTGAATAATTACAGCCCAGTTCCTCCCAGCCTGTACCCCTCAGGCAGGGGCAAGCAGGTAGTCAGACAAGGTGCCTGGATCAAAATAAGGGTAAAATATATTCAACCATCTTACCCTGACTGCAGCAAGCCAGATTTTTCTCTTTCAGAATTTTCTCTGCAGAGCTCCATTTTAGAATATTAGTGGGCAAACGGGTGATAGTGACGCACGCCTTTAATCCCAGCACTCGGGAGGCAGAGGCAGGTGGATCTCTGTGAGTTCGAGACCAGCCTGGTCTACAAGAGCTAGTTCTAGGACAGCCTCCAAAGCCACAGAGAAACCCTGTCTTGAAAAAACAAATGAACAAACAAACAAACAAACAAGAAGAAGACTATCAGTGGGTGGCAGCAGCAGAGATGGAAACAGCAGATGACTTGAGGATGCCCCTAACAGAAAATTAGTTTGCATTCCTCTGCCTTAGTCTATGGCGAAGTCTTAGGTCAGAGAATCAGGGTACAGGATACGCATCATTGTTTGTTCCCTGGTTCTGCCTTGTTGGGATTGAGTGAATCAGGCAAGGTTTACTGTGTGGCATGTAAGGTGTCAACACTGCCTGTTTGGGGGGGTATGTTGTTCCTGGCATGGTGGTGGTGTTGTGCCCAAATTCTGAACCCCAAAATCACCAAGAGGCCCATTTCGATGCAAAAGCCAAGAGTCTTTTATTGTAGATGTTTAACGAGCTAACCCCATTAGCTCGGGCCCTTCACCCCGCCACCATGGCGAATGGTTGGAGAAAGACCCCAAGCAGGGACCTTAAAGGGCAGCCTAAGGGGAGTGTCTAAGGGTATGAAACAGTCTCAGGATTGGTGTGCTTCCTGGTTTGGGTGACCCGCCCTGTATTGATTGGTCAACTGGTTGTTATGGCCCATAGGCCCTCCTAGGGCGGTTGCTATGCTCTGCACATCACTGTTGTGCACTGTCCTTAAAGCACACCCAGAGCCATAAAGCACAGCCCCGCCAGCTAACTTCTGATTGGTTCCCTGCCACGAGGAGGGCATCTGACCTTAGTGACCAGGACAGGAGCGGCAAGGTCATGCAAGCACATGTTAGCCTGTAATGGCTGCTAAAATGGGGGACTGGTCACTACATTGGCTGATGGTGGTGGCTGATGTTGGTATTGCTACTGTGACACAAAATTGTTACTTCTTGACAGTCCTCTCCCCAGAAGGAGGTAAGACTGAAACTAAGAAAGAAGAATTAGATTGATCAAGGACCAGAAACTTTTATTCATTTGACAAACATTGGCTAATGATATACTCTGTGTCAGTGTCTATGTCACAAATCTGACCAAGTCACAGTCTTGCTGACTCAGCAGGAAATGTGGCATGATGATTCACTGGCCATTCTGACCCAGTGAGAACGTTGAATAGATTGGGAGGGTACTGTTGTTTTTCTCGCTGCTATGGCAAAATGCCTAGCCAGAGGGCCTTATGGACATAAGGGTTTGTTGGACTCCTCCGATGGTGGGAAGGTGTGGATACAGCAGGATGAGACCGCTGGTCACTGTGTCTGTGGTCGGGAAGCAGAGAATGATAAATCCTGGTGCTCAGCTTGCTGCCCCCTTTGTGTTTAGAACAGGACCCCTGCCCAGGCAATGGTGCAGTCCACACAAAGGGTGGGTCTACCCTCTACCATTAAACCTTCCCAGAAGCTCCCTCAAAGACATGCCAAGAAGTGCATCTCCTAGGTGACTATAATTCCCATTAAGATGACAAGCAAGATGAACACAGTCCCAGACAGGTTATATAGTAAAAGCCCTAGTAATCACATAGAAACAGTTCAGCTGACTGGGCTGTCTCTGGGAGCCCTTTTGGATATACAGCAATGAGGAATGACTTGTGGAAGTCCCTTCACTTGCAAAATGGGGATCCTAACCAAACCGACCAGGTAGTTACCACAAGGACTTGCAGAGTTCACATTTGTAAGGTCCCTGGGGCAAAGCCTGATAGTTGGTCAGCTCAGAGTAAAAGGGCACTGTTGTCATGTGGCTCAACATGAATGGATCAATTTCATGAACATTGAAATAGATCTGTCCCAGAAGTCTTTTTAAAAAGTTTGTTACACTTGATTGTGTGTGTGCACACACGGACACAAATGGACACACGTGAGCATGGGTACGGATGCACACACAGGCCACTTGCAGGAATCAGGTCTATCCTTTCACCCCATGGATTCCAGGGACTGAACTCAAGTTGTCAGACTTGACAGCAAGCGCCTTTACTCCCTGAGTCATCTTGTGTGACTCAGCTCCTTGTACATTAACAGCACAAGAATCTATTCTCTATTTGGTATGTTAGACACAATGTGTCCTTGTTAGGGCGACACATCCAAGCAAAGCCAAGGTGAAGTCTGGAGGTAGAAATAGCTATTTTTAATATAAGTAAAAAAATAGATGATAGATAGATAGATAGATAGATAGATAGATAGAGACAGACAGACAGACAGACAGACAGACAGACAGACAGACAACTAAACAGGACAAGCCAAGATGGGATTTCACATTCCCCAAATGTCCTCTTGCAGGACTGGCTATTACCACTAGAGGTCACTGGAGCCAGCACTCTGGAGAAGGCTTCCTAATGATACAGTCAAGTGCCCAGTGTTCACCACAGTGAACAGGTTTCCAATGTGGCACTAGCTACAGACAAGCAGGTTGGAAGTACAAGATCGTGAGCTCATGGTCAGCAGCCTCAGCACCAGCCGTGTGTTCCTTACTCAGTACTCTATAACCTTCTGGCCATTCTGACCCAGGATGGAAATTTCTTGGGGCGATCCTACCTGCATGTAACCCACAGTCAAAATCTGTGTTAGCCCCTCCCTGTCCTGCTTACTTTGTGGGGGGTGAGAGGTGTTTGTATATGGGTGTGGCTGTAAGGGGACATCAGGTTGCCCACCCTATCACACTTCATTTTGTTTTCTGATCCAGGGTCTCTCACCATATCTGGAGCTAGAGTGGTGACCAGTGAGTGTGGGAAGCCTCCAGGCTCTGCTCCTCACTTCACTGAAGTTATGGGGACATTCAGACAGACACATCCACACATACCCATTTATAGCTTTTTACATAGATTCTGGGGACTAAAACTGAGGTCCTTGAACACCAAGCATCCATACCCACTGAGCTACCCCGCTAACTCCCAGCCCTTGAGTTAGCCATCTCTGAGTTTCACACTCAAGCAGCAGAAAATGCTTTGTCAAAGTAGCTGCCACCTCCAGCAGCTCACCAGGAGGAGAGATGAGGCAGGAGGCATGCCAGGCTTCCGGCTTGATGACCCCAGTCCCACAGGCTGTCTGGTCCTAGAAGCTGCGGGGGTACTTTGTCCAGAGCAAATGGCTCTTTATCAGGCACACAATGCAGACTTCTGGATGCTCAGTTCATGGCAAGAGTTAAGTGAGACACTGGAGATGTGGCGTGCACAGTTCTCAACCTGTGGGTCACGGTCCTTTTAGGAGTCAAATAGCAGATATCCTGCATATTGAATATTTACACTGTGATTTATTAACAGTAGCAAAATTACAGTTATAAAGGAGCAAGAAAAATAATTTTATGGGTGGGGGGTCACCACAATGTGGGGAAATGTATTAAAGGGTCGCAGCATCAGGAAGATTGAGAAGCCGTGCTCTAGATGAATGTCTTATGCAAAGGAACATTCGAGTGACAGGCTATGAAGTAAGATCAAGGACTTCTCTGTGAGTGTAGATCCAAAGGACTTGGGCTTCTTTATTAAATAAACCATCCAGTTTCAATATTACTAAGCTGCATTAAGAATTTTTGAAACCACATGAATGTTGGCCCCTCCTACATTTTTATTGCTTTTTCTCCAGATGCCTCATCTGTAACAAACACACCAGCAATTACCTCAGTCAACTTGTCTTGATTCATTAGCTCGTTCCAATTCATTTAGCAATGTCTTCAGAGACACGGCCACTCTTTCCTTTAGCAGTAATTGCATTGGTACAGATAGTCCTCAACATACGGTAAAGTTATATCCAGAGACTCCCAGTGTAACCTGAAAATATCCCAAGTCAAAATACGCACCCAGCTACCAGACTCCTTCACTTAGCACTCGGCACAGTGTTAATCCTTCCCCCTTGTGAGCCTGTGGGCACCATGGCTCACTGCCGCTGTCCAGCCTCCCAGGAGAGTGACACTTCAGGCATCACTAGCCTAGGAGAGGATCAAAATTTGCAGTTAGTAACTGTGGTTTCTAGTCCATCCATTCAGCTTTCCCACTGTTATTAAATAGAAAAATCATTAAGTCAAACCAAAAGTGTGTGTGTGTGTGTGTATGCATGTCTGTGGTGGTGTTATTGTTAATATAGCTGAGTACATGTGAACTCTGTGTGTGTGTGTGTGTGTGTGTGTGTGTGTGTGCTCGCACATGCATGTCTGTGGTGTTGTTGTTAATATAGCTGAGTACATCTGAACTGGCATAAGCAGATTTGGTTATGTCAGTCTGGTTAGCACAGACTGTAGAGTACAGCAGTGTGGATAGAAGGCTGCTAGCCACAGGGTTCCCAGCATCTAAGACTGTAAGGGAAAAAAAAAGTCAGTTGTTTGAACCAGGTATTGCCTAGAGGGCATAAGAAAGGTGTCAGACCACTGAGTAGGCCCACACTATGGTTCATCCTCATGGGCACTGGAAACAGTCAGGACCAGCTTCCCCTTATTAGACAACCACGAAGAAGCTGAGATAGAGAGGAAAGGTGAAGATCATGTTTGAGAAAGAATGTTCTGGAAATGTGGGGCTAAGAACCCTTCCTTAGCCTGGATGGACAGGCCTAAGTTGTCCATCCTTTTCTCTGCTCTTTCTCTGGCAAAACAGACCTGGGGACCAGGGGCAGTTGAGTAAGACACAGTCTGTGTCCCTAAAGAGCCTTCAGCCTAGAGCGGGGGACACTCCGGCTAACAGGAATGCAATGAGACTAGGCTGTGTCACCGAGGGTATTTGGATGCTCTCTGGAAGCTAGGTTGGCTTTTCAGATATTAGTGGGATTGGGGGAGTGACATAGTATAAAATGCTTGCAGTGTGAGTATAAGGAACTTCAGTGTAGGCCCCTCACCCACATGAAAAGCTGTGCTGAATACTTGTAAAGCTCATTCTGGGGAGGCAGAAACAGGAGGATCCTGGCACTCACTAGCAAGCCCCATGTCCCAGCAAGTTATGCTGTTTCAAAACATAAGATGGGTAGTGTCCAAAGAAAGACACTGAAGGTTGACCTCTGGCCTCTGCACTTGGAGCTAAGAGTGGTGGCCCCGTAAAGCGTGTGGGAGAGAGGAGAGGAGGTTTGACGAAACAGGATGGGATGATAAAGGGTCCTGTTTGCGACCCTAAAGACACTGAGAATGCACCACAGGCATGGCCATGCTTGTGAACGGTAACGCTGGGCAGAGAGTGCTCAGTGCATGGCAGAGGGAAGAATGGGGATGTCAAATGCAGTGACACCGCTTTGAAAAGCTGTTCCTCTTGGACATCTGCTCTTTGGCACGGTTTAGGTGAGTGTGGTAGTTAGGGTTGCTGTTGCTGTGTTGAAACACATGACAATGCAAATTGGGGAAGAAAGGGTTTATTTGGTTCACACTTCCATATTAGTCTCCATCATCAAAGCGAGTCAGGACAGGAACTCAAACAGGGAAGAAATCTGGAGGCAGGAGCTGATGCAGGGGTCATGGAGGGTGCTGCTTGCTGTCTCGCCCCTTTTGACTGCTCAGCCTGCCTTCTTATAGAACTCAGGACCACCAGCCTAGGGATGGTACCACCCACGCTCTTCCCCATCACTAGTTAAGAAAATGTCTGAGAGACTTGTGTACAGCCCACTCGTACAGAGGCATTTTCTTAACTGAGGTTCCGTCCCCTGCTTTAGCGTGTGTCAAGTTGACATAAAACTAACCGGCTAGCGGGTGACTGGCAGGACGGGCACATGCTGGGTCCACTCTGTGGCACTGCTGGCTTTTTACAGCTGCTGTGTCTCTTCTTCCTCAGCCATCTACCTCTGTAAGAGGACAATGCAGAACAAAGCAAGGCTGGAACTGGCAGACTACGAAGCAGTGAGTACGGCGACGCCCAGGCCGGGGTGGGGGGGGGGGGTGTCCACTCTGCCTGGGGTTCTCCTTTCTTCCCCCTGCACTCCCTTCCAGGCAGTGGGAAGGAGGTCTGTTCTGTTTCTCCCTTGTTATCAGTCCCCCCCTGCAATGACAGTCAAACTGCATTCTTACATAGATAACTCTCAACCTTCAACAGCTAAAAATAAACAGTTCGAGTGGGTTCTGGCGGAACATACCTGATATCCCAGCACCCAGGAAGCTAAGACAGGAGTATTGTGGGTTTGAGGCCAACCTGGGATATGCCAGCCTGGGCTATGGGGTGAGACCCAGTCTCATATATACATTAATGTAGATAAATAATTAAATAACATAAAGATAGGTAGAGGACTTATTCAGTTATTTCACCAAAGAGGACAAAAGATGACAAATTGACACATGAGAAGATGCTCAACACTTTAGCCATTTGAGAAACAGATGGAATCCATGGTGAGGTGCCATTACACCTGTTAGAATGGCTAAAATGAAAGGTATAGCTAACACCAAGTGTCAGTGAACATGTAGGACACATTCTTTTGTATTACTGGGGAATGAAAAAAGTGGCTTATGTTTTGGCAGTTTCCTATAAAGCTGAATATACAGTTATCACATGCAATCAAGTAGAGAAATCAGAACCTATTTCACATCAAAATCACCATGTTGCTGTTCATATTAGCTTTATATGTGCTATCCCAAGGCTGAAAACAACCCAAACACATCTTAGTAGACAAATGAAGCTAACTAGGTACATCCATACAATGAAATAGTATCCTGCAGTAGAAAGGGATTGATTCTTGTTATACACAACTACATTGAAGACATAGTGTTGAGTGAAAGATTCCAGTCTTAAGTCATCCATCCCATTGCTTGACACTCTTGCAAAGATAGCACATATATCATGAGGGAAACAGATCAATAGATGTAGTTATAGATGGGTTGGAGTATGACCAAATCCCAGGGGATTTGGAGAAATAGTGGAACTATCCTAAATCCTGATTCTGATCTATAACTATATACATGTGTTGGGCATTCAAATTTTTTTCTGAAAGATAAATTGTCAAATTTTCTATGCAACAATTTTAAAATCAAAGTTTTAAATTTCATCTTTATATCCCTCTCTCAAGCTTAGTAGGAAAGACAGAATCCAAAAACAAAATTCAATTCAGAAAATAAGACAAAGTACCAATCATGAGGGAGGTCTCCTTTCTCTCTCTACTTATTTTTCTCCTTCTTTGTCCATACGATGTATTTCCTTACAAGAATTAGACATCCCACTCGACAGAGTCTGTAAATTAAAAACTGAGGACACAAAGACTCACATATCATTGTGAATATGTTTAACTTCTGGTTACAGAACCTTTTCTCCGCGCCACATTTCACAGGCAACATGGAGAACCAGGGAAATCGGTTATGTGTTCATGTACCTCCCCCACCACCACCACTATGTGTGGTACAGGTGCTGCTGAACTGAGCTAACTAAAGAGTGACAGCTAGGGCACAAGAGCTAATGTTAAGGACAGTGGAGACTCCCTCCTTGACAATGAAGAATCAACAGCATCTTCAGACCTCCCACATTCCCAAGGTCCCTGTCTGTCTCCTTTCAAAAGAAGCACAGTAAGACTCTTCTCCACCAGGCTTTGCCTCTCCTGAGTCCTGATACCCAAATCTAGCAAGTCAACCCTCTCCACCACCCTGAGGCAAATGTGTAGCCAGTGGAGAGCAGGGCGTGGCCTTGGCATGCTGCCTTCTTTGAGCCTGTTGTTATCCCAGACTTGTGTTTGGGAGGCAGGTAGAGAAGGATGTGGGAAGACTGCCTAGGAGGCCAGGATCTAGTGAGTGTTTGCATATCACATCACATGTTAGACCATCCTGTGTGACTGTCTCCAAACCTGCAGCAGTGTGTATTTGGCTTTTAGCATCCTGGGAGCTGGATGTCCCAGCAGTCATATCACGTGTCTTTCCAAAACCGGTTGTTTTACTTGCTACATACCCAAGGCAAACAGCTTTGCTATGACCATGTGACTTCCCTAGCACGCCACAAGGTTCCCACATCTTCTGGTGCTCTTGCCAGGTCTCTGTGTTTTAGAAAATACATTACACAGAAATGACACATCAACTTCTAGTGTGTTTCATTCAGTTTTCTGTTTGCTTGCTCCACAGTGATCTGTTTTGATATTTGTAAAGTATACAGTATAAAGGATTTTCCCCCAGGATTAAGTTCTGCATAAAAATGCTTAGAAACTACAAATGCATTTTGTTCCCAAAGCATGCTAATTTTATTAAAATTTTCTGACTTCCTATATTCTTCATAGAAAACAAAAATTCAGACAGCGAAGGAGAGAAAATGACCTATGATTCCCCCACTAAGTTTTTTTTTTTGTTTTGTTCTGTTTTGTGGGGTTGTGTTTGTTTGTTTTGTTTGTTTTTGTATATACAGGTTTTGACTGTTTCTGATACTTCTTCTAATGACAGATTGTAACATACAGGAAATAATTCTATGTTAGTAATACTAACTAGATTGCCTAATATTCCACAGTATGATAGAGTCATAGTTCACTGCTTTCCCCGAGTGATTGACATTCAGGTATCACCTGCTGAATTCCTACAAACAGTGTAAGCATCAAAGGAATAGTTCTTTTCAAAGTAGTGAATTTGTGTGTTTCTTAAACAAGGCTCCTCTTATATTAATAACCTACTAATGAGGGTAATCAATTAGTGTTGACATGAGCTCTATGGAAATACATAACATAATACGGGCTCCAGTCTTGCATTAATCAGAATTAGGGGGATCATTAGAGGTCCTGTCAAACTCCTCTTCTCATTGTCCTGAGGTTCCAGTAGAAAAGTCTACAGACTGAGAGGAAAAACAGCTGTCCCCTTTCCCTCTAAAGATGATCCTGGATGGATAATCTTCCTTCTTCCTTCCCTCCCTCCCTTCCTCCCTCCCTCCTTCCTTCCCTTCTTCCTTCCTTTCTTCTCCTGTTTCCATTTTTTTTCCTTCCATGAACCTCACAAGCAGTCACTCTCTTTGGTCCAGTTCTGAACCCTGACCTTAGGAAGTACCCATGCAAAGCATTCTAGGTTACCCTTTCCTTCGACTTCCCCAGCTCCCCACTGGAAGAATTATGCTCAAGAGTTCCATCCTGAGATTTGATATGGGATGACCCTGACATCCTCTTCCCCACAGCCACCAGGCAACCTTTCCAGTGGCCTCTACACCAAGCACTGTGTAACTTGTGTTCGCAAAATAACACCCAAGAAAAGGTGAATCGGGGTGAACCAGAGACCTGAGACTTATATAAACGAACATTAGAGTTAAGCAATTCATCAGAGCCTAGTGCGAATTCAAACTGGGGTTCGTGTTCAGTGGCTTTAGTATGAGACCCTGCTATTTTAATGGGAGGAAACCAAAAAGGATGGCTGCCTTATAATAAGCATGGGTGTCGATATGTTAGTCTATGGTGATTAATACCTTCTTGTTGGTTTTTATTTCTCACCAGGAAAACTTAGCGAGGCTCCAGAGGGCCTTTGCAAGGAAATGGGAGTTCATCTTCATGCAAGCAGAGGCACAAGTGAAGTAGGTGGATGCCGCAGGGACCTCTGGCGGAGAAAAGAGCTCTCTAGAGGGTGTGGTGGCCAAGGGGGGCCCCCCCACCCCGGGAGAGGTGGGACAAATAATAGGAAGAGACAGATGAACAGGTTTCACATCAGGAACTGAGGTCTTGCTACAACAGTTTCATCAGACAAAGAGAATCTTCTCAAAGGCAGAGCTGAAGGAGGTACCTTACCCAGAGATTTTCATAGGATGTCTTTGCTAAGACTGGAGAACACCAGGCTGAGTTCATTGTAGGCTAGAGCCCTAGACTCCTAAAAACTTGAAGAGGAGTCCTAGTTACTTTCCTCAACATTGTGACAAAAGCCACTTAAGGAGGACAGGTTTATTTGGGTGCATGGTTTGGGGGTGGGGGTGGGTGCCACACATGGTGGCAGGAGTCTGGGGCAGTGGCTACTTGTACCATGGAGTATCAGGAAGCTGAGGGTGCCAGATCAGAACCAGGCCTGATATATACCTATATATACCAAGTGACCGGCTGCCACATCCAGGCTCCATCTCCCACTAACTTCACACTCTCCCCAAACAGCTCCAGTAGTTGAAACCAAGTGCTCAAGCTAAGAAGCCTGTGGAAGGGACCTCTTGTATTTCTACCAGATGAGGGAAGAGTTCACTCTCATCATCTTCCATAGAGGAACAAAGCTTAAACTAATGGAAAGAATAAGGCACAGAATTTAGATTTCTGGGTTCAGTGACTGAAGCTCAGGCTTGGCCTAAAAGCTGTGTCCTTTCTGAGCAAGGTCGGTATCTACGTGATCCCTCTGCAGGAACAGAGCTGACCTCCCCACCCCCACCCCTGTAAGCTCACCTTGGAGAGCAGATAGCCTGAGCTCAGGCTAACCCAGAAGAACCAGTATGTGCTTTCCAATCTCCCAATAGATAAACTCATTCATCTTCCTCAAAGGGCACAGAGGGAAGGAGGAAACTGAGGTGGAAGGGATTTCTCTGTATCTTCACCCATGGAAACAGACTGGAGACTGCTTCTTCAATAAGGAAGCATGTCACCTAGGACTGTGGAACTTCTATGATCAGGATCTGATCTTGTCCAGCTTAGCCAGCAGTGCCAACAGGCAGATGAAAGCAGACGAGGGATGGGAAAGGGGCTGAGCTGGACGAACAAAGGGACCTTTTCCCTGAGAATCCCTTGGAGGGGAACAGTCCACACATACAGCTTCCGAGAAGCAATTCATGCTCTGGGAGTGGCCCCACTCAACACCTAGGGTCAGGCTTGGGGGCTGTGTGATTGATCACCAATGGTCACCACTGGAAATGAACAGAGGTCATCTGGCCAGCAGTCTGCACACTATCATTGCTGTCACCCTCCCTCAGTTATCTCTACCTTTCCCCTGTCCTTGATGCCAGCCACCTGCTGATTCTTTCCCAACCCAGTGTTCCAGATGTCCCCAAGGGAAGGCAGACACCAGGTACTAGACACTAAGTGACTGCAGGGACCATCTGGGAAGTAGAAGGTGGGAGGGCTGGTGGGAACAGAGACTCAGATCTGGATGGGGTGAGGTAGAGCTGCCCACCAGCCACTGGGAAGCAAAGAGAAGCGTGGATTAGCTCTCCCAGAATCAAACGGCATCACACTAGAAAGGAGGGGGAAACTGTGAGTCCTGTACATATATGGCTTTTCTCCCTTAGCTTTTCTGATTAACTCTGTGATTGCATAATAATTGTGGGCCATTTAAGTACACAGCAATTATCACAAAAATCACAGGGTGGTTATGGGTTTATTTCAGTCCAGTAAACTAAAGGGCTCCCAAGAGAGCTGAGAACCACAAGTCACATGGCAATTAATCCGAGTCGCTTTTTACTTAGATAATGTGAAATGATACATGCTGGGGGGGGTGATCTTTTGTGGGCTCCCAGTCAGGACACGTGGAATCTGGCTTTGCCATCCATAATTTCCCTCCTGCAATTGGTGCCTTTCCCAACTAAGGTGATATTTATTGTTGGGGTCTTATCACAGGCTGGGGTCACCACTCTGCCTTTTAGAAATCCAGATGGTTTAAGTGACTTTTAAAACAAGTAATCGGAGTGTCTTACAGATGTTTTAATTGCTGTTTAAAATTTCATGTTTGAGATGGAGCATTGGCAAACAGGTGGCTGTGTCCTTTCTTTAATTTGCTCTGCAATCAGGGCAGACGTATGAAGAATTCAGTCCTTAGAAGCCCAGATCTTGATACCTTCTGTGGGCAACTCTGTCTCTGCTCATTCTTCCTGCCTATCATTGCTCACAAATGATAATCTGTAATCCAGCCTAAAACAAGCTCTTGACATGAGGGGGGCTACTGAGAGGCCACATTGGGGGCAGTAGTCTTAGATTCAACCTTGGTCCCTAGGAGCAGGAGAGTTGAGGAGACAGAAGAGAAAACAGTACAAACACTTCTCACTTCTTCTCCTTACTCTTTCAGGATTGATCGGAAAAAGGATAAGACAGAAAGGAAAATTTTGGATAGTCAAGAACGGGCCTTTTGGGATGTCCACAGGCCAGTGGTGAGGAAGTTCTGCTTGGTTTGCTACTCGAATCTGCCCACTTCGTTCTTGTCGACTGTCTTTAGTGACCAAGTGATTGTTCCTTAAGATAGTGGCTAAGCTTTGTGAAATTGCTGTTCCCATTCATTCATATTCTTCCCATAGATCTCCTGTGGGGGGTATGTCAGTTCCATCTTTTAAAAATTATACACTGGAGAAAATGTAGGACTGGAAATGGAAGACAATGGGGATTCCAAGAGAGGAATTCTGGAGTCCCCAAGTCTCCATTCCTCCAAATTATCAGTGTTCGTTTCTGCCATCATTAAGCCCCAAATCTGAAGATATTCTTCTTACATACTATTAAGTCTGGTCATTTACACTAGGCATGTTCTATAAACTTGAAAACTATGAATTAGTGAATGTTGAAGTATTGTTCCTGGGAGAGCTAGCTTCCTTTCATATATCTTGATCAATGTGTGGCTTTTTTTCGTGTGTGTTCCTGTGTGAAGACACCATATTTAATATATAATGTTGACTCACTGTGTTGAGCCCACGGCCAGCAGAACGGTGCTTCGGGCCATATCACAGTCATTCTGTTTTCTCCTATGGCACGTGGGAACCCCTTCACCCTTAGAGCCCTACACAACCCTTTGACACCTGCTTGAATGCTACCGAAAACAGAAATGTCACCAAGATAAACACAAAAACGTGGGAAGCCTGGCACCAAATAAGCCCTGTAGAGGTGGCTCTGTGGCTTAGAATAGGAAGGCTGAGCCTCACCCTGCTCAGCCTCATCTGGGCGTGGTTATGTGCAGTGACTCAAATTATTGTTCACCTTCGTGTGTCTGTACATGGTCATTAGGCTCTGAGAACATTGATTTGCACATTACAGAGAAAACTCAGTAAGTAGATGAATTCGCAAATCAGTACACAATGAAGCTTGACTGTGTCCCTGATTTCACATTATTAAAACAAATCTCGATTGCCCCCAGGAAATGGAATTGAAAATGAGCCAACTATTTCAGCCTTCCTAAAAACTGATTAAAAGCAACAATACCAAGAAGAACCTCCCTGTCCTGACATGGGAATTTTTTTTCAGGCTATGCCCAAAGCACAGTGGCCACTTGAAATATAGATCTGATGGCAGGAATGCATACCAGGCCTTCCATGAGGCATCCTGATTATAAGGTCATATTTTATATTTCCAGTGAGAACTCCATACAGGAACATGCATTATGGCAAGATAAAAAGATTATGCATTATCTGCAAAGGGAAGGATTAGGTCTGATGGCATTACTGGGATTCAATTGGAAGCATAATTTTCACTTAGTAATTTATACTATTTTTTTTCCTCTCAGCCAGGCTGTGTGAACACAACGGAAATGGATATCAGAAAATGCCGACGTTTGAAGAACCCTCAAAAGGTTAAAAAGGTCTGCTGGCTTAGTTGAATTACAACTTCCTGGTGGGGCTAACCCTCTGTTTCTTAACACAGTGTAGTCTTAACACAGTGGTTTTTCTGCTTGTGATTCTCCTACACTTTATCTTATGTGATCATTTTATTAATATATTCTAGAAATACCTTTTGGGTGGCTGGTGTGTTTTAGTGATTGTGCAAAACGCCGGGGCTCAGGTCCAGATCTCGGGGATCCCCTAGTCTTGAAGGGAATGAAACCAGAGCACAGGCAACAGGGCTACAGTGCTGTATTAGGAAAAATGGGACTATTCAGGAGCCCCTAGAGTGCAGCTAAGACAGAATGGGGCTTCCCAGAGGCTTCACATGAGCAGGGTCCACTAAGACAAAGAGTATATAGCTGCCGGTTCTGGGGAGGTTGCAGTGAAGAAAAGAAGCCCTGCAATAAAACATGGAAGAACCCGCAGGCAGGCAAATGGGAGAGTTCAAATAGCACTCAGTTGTCAAAACCCACATCACCACCTTACCCTGCTTTGAATGACCCCAGGATCCCTTGTATTTCACTAGACAAAAATGGGTAGTGGCCACAGCATCCCCTTGGAGACCATACCCAGATTACCTCCATCAATACATTTACCCTCTCCAAAGACCATTCTACAGGAGAACATGGCTGTGTTCTTTAACATCAATTTCAGAAGGTTAGAGTATATCCCCCAAATGTCCCCAAGTATGACCAAGTATGAATCCAGAGAACTTTGGATCAGAAGTGTTTCAGTGTTTACAATACTTGCATATACCTATCAAGCTATTGGAGGGAATATGACTCAAGTTTGAGTGCAAAACTCACTTGTTTCATAGCTACCTTATGAACATAGCCCAGCAATAATGTTATGTAATATTTCCAGTAGTCCTGTGTTTTAATCAGAACCTATCCCATGAGATAAGGTATAGAATTTTCCACTTGTCATATTTGTGATTTGGAAGGATTTTAGGTATTTAAACAAGGATTAATGTGTGTATGAGAGAGAGAAAGAGACAGAGACAGATAGACACAGAGAGACTGAAACCCCAGGTACATACTTCTTGAGTTTACTTATATGATTTGCTCATTGGGTAAACAACAGTGCCCACTGTGTTATATTTTAAACCTCTAGTCTTAACTGTCCTTATTTAGTCTTTAAGGACCCTAATTCTCATATCCCAGAGTTGTATGAAGTTATGTGTATGCCATCAGAACCTTTTGCGATTGTATAGATGCATGTCCTTCAGGGATGTTTCTTTCCCTGTTTATAACACCACGAACAACTTGTACAGCAGTCATATCTGAGGACTTGTGTGGAAACCAAGGCCAGAAAACTGCTTAATTTATAAGGAGCACTAGCCAGGAAGCATGCAGTCTCAACATTGTCCCAGATGGGCACGGCATCAGCTGACCTGCAGGAAACCCCTGGGAAATTTCTGAATGTACCTTACAGCTATTGTTCTTGGGTTCAGTGTTGACCCCCAGATCACCTGGGGTATTTGTTTAAAGTACAGATTCTCAAACCCACCCATGAGAATCCCGATTGACTCCATCTGGGGTCAGACTCAGCAATTATGTCTTTACTGAGGACCCCCAACTGATCTTTGAAGCTGGTTGGCCTCTGGGCCATATTTAGAGGAACAATGCTACACAGAGAGACCATTTCCTCAAGGAAATGAAGGATTTTCCCGGTGTTGTAACCCAAAGAAGACCAGGTCCCTCAAGCGGTCTGCCATGGGGGGAAATTCAAACAGAGGCCAGTCACATAGCTGGATGCCACAGAGACGTTGAAAGAATGAGATAATGGCTTGGCTCCTGAGCCACCCATGACACTGAGGGTGTGTGATTTGTTTTTGCTTCATCTTCTAGTCAGTATATGGCGTGACTGAAGAGTCCCAGTCACAGAGTCCAGTGCACATACCAAGCCAGCCAATCAGGAAAACTACAAAGGATGACATTCGAAAACAGGTGAGCCAGGGAGCATGATACTCCCAGAGTGACCTGTGGACAGCAGAACCCAGATGGTAGATGACTTGAGCCTGTAAGTGACACTTCACAAAAGCTTGAGAGACTCTCTTCCAAGCTTCTCTAGCAGTTATTAAACGGCGTGTGACTGAGCTCTCCCAGTGGTGTGCTGACTTGAGGTCAAGGTCTCCCACCGCCTGCTGTGGGAACAAGGGAAGGAGAGGCAAATGTCCCATCCTGGAGAACTTAGCATCATAACAAACTTCCAGAATGCACCAGTCCAGGACCGCGACCTGTGTATTGCTAAGACTCAGAGAGAAGGCATAAGAATAAAGAGAACCCCAGCCCAAAGTCATCATTTCGTTACATATTATTTTCTGTCGCATGAGGAAGTCAGATTAACAGAGTGGCTGGCAACATTGCTGTCTTCTGAAACCTTTTTATTATGCCTTACTGGCTTCTGACAGGGGTCGGGCAAAGGAGTAACTTTAAATGCCTTTCCTTGACAAGCTTAGGGGTAGGGTCGGAAGAAAGAAGCGGACAGATGCAAAATAACTATTTGCTGTTTCTAGTTACCCATGACCAACACATGGGTGTGATACACACATGGAAAGTAGGCAGAGGGACTATTACTGGAGCTTAGTGTAAAAAGGATTTTTACAGTATACTTATTGTCTATCCATTCTGTTGACAAGCTTTGAAGACTACATGCTATCTTTTGAGTAAATAATTTTGGGCAGAAAGTAAAGATTAAATGATAGTTATGAACAAGTGAAAATTAGACGTAAACTAAATCGTATTAGAACCTTAAGTGTGGCAGGGAATTCTAAAGGGATGCATTGATTGCAGGAATTCCAGCTACTGGGCAGGGGTGCTGTCTGAGGAGGTGTCTAGACCTCGGTGTGATTGCAGGGATTTGGGTTCACAGGAAGAGAAAGAGTCAAGTTCTGTTTTGGCCTCAGCACCCATGTTCTCTCTTTCCACCAGATAACGTTTTTGAACGCACAGATTGACAGACATTGTTTGAAAATGTCCAAAGTGGCTGAAAGGTATGCTTCCCCCGATATTATTATTGTGTGCATATTTTATAAAGGAGAAATGTTACAGGGTTCTAGTTAACAGGTATGTTCAGCTTCAAGAGTCAGGCTGTAGATAACTCCTTCAGTCTGATGTGTGAAAACCCCCAATCCCTGTGAGTGTAGCTGAAGTAACAGGCCTCCCTCGAGCAAGACACTCTCTCGCTTAAGCTTCAGCCATAGGACCTTGTCAATCAGGGAAGAACGCCTTTAATCTCCATCATGGGCCTTTGCCTTCAGTCCTTTGATTGATTCAAATGGAATCATGCCCTTTTCGGCTATAAAATGCCAAAATTCATTTTATAGGGGAGAGAAATTGTGTGTGCCCTTTGAGGACCTGGCCATATAAACAGCAGAGGACTAGGTCCTTGAGAAGTGTCCTCCTCCACATATCATCAACCACGGACAGCATTGAATCAACTATAAAGAAAATAGCTGGCCCCTGCAGCCTGGCTTCTCTAACAGCTCCTGTGCTCTACCCTGTAACTGGTTCCACTCGATTACCGTGTGGAAGATACAATTGTATCAACTAAATGGTCTGCTTTGGAACACTTCAGTAAAGAGACCACCTGGGGATTCTGTATGGAATAAATCTGATCCGGCAGCTAGAACTTAATACTTGTTCATCCATACGCTACTGTTAAAGCACTGTCCAGCTTCTGAAGGAATCCAGGGTGTAAGTCAGGCTTTTGTATTTGTTGCATAGCAAGTAGACCAAGTCCTTTAAGTTTATATCATACGGGGTACTCTCTGCTGGCCCTTGGGTTAAGCTGCATCTTCTTTCCAAATAATGACAAGTGGGAGCTTAGAAAACCCCAACCCCAAATCCAAAGCCTGAATTAGTGTTGTGCTTGGGACACCAAGGCTGCCGAGGGTTTGGACTTATGGCATCTTACATGTCTACTTGTATGTGTCTTGTATATGTATCTAAGTACATATTTGTTGTTGTTGTTCAGGTATTAGGCATTGAATCTCCCAAACCATGGGCAAGTGATCTACTCTAACCTGTATTCCCAAGACCTCTGTTTACTTTCTTTGTGTGTGAGATCAGGATCTCATTAAGTTATCTGGGATGTCTTTGAACTCTCTCTGTAGTTCAGGTAGGTCTTGAACTCAGAATCCTCCTGGCTCAGCCTCCTAAGGAACTAGGATTACCAGGTCCAGTCTGTTTGTATTCATTTTTAAATTTTTTACATTTTAATTGTGAGTGTATGTGTATATGGGGAAACATTCGTGTGAGTACAGCTGCCTGCAGAAGCCAGAAGAGAGCATTGGATCCACTGGAACTAGAAGTACAGGTGGCTGTTACCTGCCCAGTGCGGGTGCTACAAACCTAACTGGGGTTCTCTACGAAAGTACTGTATGTTCTTAACAGCTGAGCCATCTCTCTATCCCCTGTTGGTGTTCTTAATGATGGAGTTAGATATCGTCATTCTGAGCCAGACGATTGACAATTGCTTGTTGCATACATCTTGTGCATTATAAGATGTAACAGCATTCCTAACTTCCGCCCACTAGAGGCCAGTAATACCACCTCACCACTGTAACAACCAACTCAGAGCGTTTCCAAATGTGCAAGGGGACAGCAAAATCGACCCCATGAGAAATATGCTCCCTGATGCAAATGCCTGATGGTGCCAGCGGCTGAAGCCCCCCCCCCACTACATCAATAGCAATTACTCTAAAGTCCCAGGTCTAGCTAGCTACAGGCTACAGACTCACTTCTCATCCCCATTGTCAAAGTGAGGGACTTCTGGTCCCCTCACCAGGCTCTGAAAGAGCATTTTCCTTCTCAATGAGGTTTCCTTTGCCCCCTCCCAAAGAGAGGCCAAGAGCAAAGCAGCTGAAGCGGCATCAGCTTCCCAGCCATAGCTGGTGAGGAAAGCCAAGGCACAGAGATGGCTGACTTGACTTGGTACGGTGTCTTACGCTTGGTAATGTCTGGTTTGGAAGGCTTGTAGGACAGAGTAGACACAGAGCATCTTTTGTCAGGTTCACATGCCCGAGGCCAGTGTTCTGAGGCCAGAATAGAGGGATAAGCAATGAAAATCCCCAAACCCCAGCCCTAGGTATGGACTCAGTGGATTCAAGGGAGACCCAAGCAAACTGTGCTTTGAGCTTCCAGTGGACTAATCTGGTGTCTAGGGCTCTGGTGATGCCATTATAGCTACACTGGCCTGAGGACTCACTTCAGAAGGGCCTGAGTTTCCGCTTTGTCTTCTTATCTTTGGGGTGTGGGAGAAGCCTGAACCACTCATCTTGACAGACCACTCAGAATGAGGTAGGTGATATGTCTTGTCTCTCTCTCTCTCACACACACACACACACACACAGAGAGACAGAGACAGAGGAGAGAGAGACAGACAGAGAGAGAGAGAGAGAGAGAGAGAGAGAGAGAGAGAGAGAGAGAGAGAGAGTCTGGCAGGTCCCACTGTTTGTTTACTGGCTGTCTGGGAGGAGCCCCAGCTGGTACATCTAATTACACTTGAGAGGTGCTCACACGAGGGCTTACTCCAACCGCAACTCCCCAGACAGAAACTTCTAGGGGTCCAACCCCAACAGAGGCTGAATTTTATTCCCAGCAGCAATAACTGACAACTTTCACTAAAACCACAAGGAAAGTCCCAGGGAACCCAGAGAGAGAGCAGCCGGGTGCTTGCTGGAGATAAAGCCACCCAAGCCTGGCCTGTCAGATGCTGTGCTCTGCCGGGAGGGGCCAGAGAGGTGGCTCTGGCAGCTGGCCAGAGATGAAAACTGAGCTCTCCCAGGTGAGCCACACAGTCCCATTCTGGATCTGGTTTCCCTGGGCCTGCTCCAGGTGATAAGTGGTAATTGCAATAGTGTCCCCCTGAGGAAAGGTCCCTGCCATTTTTATTTTATTTATTTATTTTTGTCATTTAGTTGCTTAAGAACCCAAGAGGTGGGAAGCTGTTGCTGGTGATGTAGGTGGCCCAGTTCTGAAACACAAGAATTGGGGTGGAGCTAAAACCTGCATCCACCTGCAGAGGGACACAGCAGCCGGGTGCCTGGAGCCCGTTGCGCAGGTTCCCGTCCTGCCTTGGCCGTTTCCTACATTCTCAGAAAAGTTGCTCTATCCTTCTCTCTTTCACCTCTGTAAAAGAGGAGACAGCAGTCACTGGTGGTGAGCCAACAGGGTCGATGAGTAAGTGGGCACGATCAAAGCCTGACTCCAATCCTTGGTACCCAGGTCCCTCCGCAGTGAACAGGGAGGACCAGTCATTTTCCAGTGTTGCGATTCACAGAGCCTTCGACAGCAGCAAGATTTGGGGATATGAGGAGCAATGAACTGGATGTACAGTGCTCCGAGGAGGAGGAGGGAGGCTGGCCCTGAAGATGACATTGTTGTGTCACCACTGTCCCTCTCTCTCTCTCTCTCTCTCTCTCTCTCTCTCTCTCTCTCTCTCTCTCTCTCTCTCTCTCCTTTCTCTGACTCTCATCCACGCAGCCCTGCAGGCTGCTCAAGGCTAGTGCTGAAGCTCATAGCCTGTAGAGTCCCCTTTCCCCTCGCATACACTCACTGCAGCATCTTGTCTTCCAGGAGGGGAGGGGTTGTGGATGAGGGAACCGGCTCTCTAGATTCTCTCGGTTCGTTTCAGCTTCAAATATTCCGTCTGTTGTCCCCAACAGTGTTTCAGTGTCCCTGACACGTCAGCATCAGTGTGTTTCCTGGGCTGCTTCTTGCAATTCTTAAATGTATAAACCTATTCTCGATTCAGAATGAACAATCCCCATATATACAAATTAACTGTCTAGATAAATACCACTCAACACTATGATTTTTATCTTAACTATTTTAAGTGATAATCTTCCTTAAATGTGGCTCACAAATTTGCCTTCCTAAGAAAGAACAGTGCTGTTTGGTTCATTTTTTCTGGATAACTAGAGCCAGTGTTTTGTATTTTGCTGTTAAACTGCTTCAGGTTAAGTCCTTGGTCTTAGGAGTCACCACACATAGCTTCCTACAAAATGGCCCTAAAGTACTGCATTCTTTGAGCCCCTGTTGGGATTTGTTATTGCTTTTGTTTGTTTGCTTGGGTTTTTTTTTGAGGGGTAGGTTTTTTGAGACAGGGTTTCTCTGTGTAGCCCTGGCTGTCTTGGATCTCCATAGACCACTCCATAGACTATGCTGTCCTCAAAAACAGAGATCTGCCTCTGCCTCCCAAGCGCTGGTATTAAAGGTGTGCACCACCACTGCCCAATGGTTTGCTTTCTTGTGCCCATTAATATGGTTGTTTCTAGTAATATCCTCCTCTCTGAAGACACCTCATCTCTTCCCAAGCTGTAAGACAAAGCATGTCAGTCAGCTATGGCGGACAAAACCTCTAAACTCAGAGGTATAATACTGCAGTAGCTTCTCTCTGCCCACAGGGGATAGGATCTTCCTTAGGGATGGCCAAATGCTACCAAATGCTGCATATGCTGAGTATTTTCTCCTATGCCTGCACACCTCAGAGATGAATAATAACTGATAATAAAATAAGACAATCACAGTGATGCATAACAGCGATGTAAACGCAACCTCTTCTGGAACTTCCACATACTCGTGTAAGGGAACATGTAAAGCAAGAGCTTTGCAGCTTTTCTCTGGTCTGAGTTACCTGTGTCACCGCTCAGTGTGCCTTGAGGCAGTAGACAAAAAAACAAGGACTAGTTGGATGCCAGCACTACAGCTCCACAAGAGTGAGTCCAATTACCCACACCACAGTTAAGTGAGTAATGGGAGCGTAGCATGGAAACGCTGGGCAAAATCCATGCCTAGGATGGAGATTTTATCACACTGCTCAGGTCAGCATGTAACTTATGATCTACTTGTTTCTGGAATATCTGTTTAATACTTCCAGACTGTGGCTTTTCGTGGGTGACTGAGGTTGCTGGAAGCAGAACTGTATATATAAGGGCATCACTCAGTGCATGTTTGCTCTTTCTCACGTGCCTCTTGCCAACTGGTTGCA